CCTTGACTACTTCTGAAAAAAATGCAAGGGCAGTTGTGCCAAAAAATGGGGCATAATTGTGCTCCGAATTCAACTCAAAGGGAGCTAACAGAAGCCTTTATAATAAAAATATCGGCTGTATCAAAACTAATTCTAAAGGCTTTTACGTAGAAATAAAAAACAGCAACCAACAAGTCAGTGCCAGATCCGAACCCCTGCACAAGCCCAATTGCCAAACATAATAGACTGGGGTGTGGACAATTCATTGGTGTCTTCCTAGTTGCATGGGAGGGAATCATACTGATAGGTGAAGGGATAAGGTCCATCTCTCCACAAGCTGCCTTGCGGTGAGAAATAGGCTCCCCCACCATGCCTATAACAAGTTAAGGTGGAATTGGGGACCAATTTTTAGCCTGAGAGCCATACTTCCTTCTGGGCAATTTTCTGGTATCCACATGCCAGTGGGGAAAGAGGGAAAAGTGGGAAGAGCATTGAACATAAACTTTTAGAAATCGTAGAATTGTAGATTTGGAAGGGACCCTGAGGATCATTTAGTCCAACCCCCTGCAATGCAGGAATATGCAGTTGCCCCCTACAGGTATCGAACCCGCAACCTGGGCATTATCAGCACCATGCTCTAACCAACTGAGCTGAGCCACCCTTTTGGTGTCTAGGGGCACATTTGTTCAAATGATAATAATTAATAAGGCTAGACGAATGCTCCAATAGTTGGAGCAGGGACACAGCCTGCAAAGTAGGGGGTTGGACTAGATGACCCCCCAGGATTCCTTCCAATTCTACGATTCTATGAAATAACTAGCATGACAAAAACGGAGCAGAGATCACCTTCCTGGCATTTCCCACTGGAGCTATTTGACGACTTAAAATAAAACGGCAGCAAAAAAATGAGAAGTCTCCAGAGAAACTGACTGTTCTCCAGCGGAAACGAAGATTTCCCATGCCAAATTTTCAGCCGAGGGGACAAATTGTCATCATATTATGCTGGATAGAATTTATGGTGCTTCGTAATGACAGAATGCTGAAAAAGCTGTTCACCCGGTCCTATTTACCTAGGAAAGTAGCCCATCTAGAACTCTGGCCCTAAACCTTCTCTGTTTTGCAGGACGTCTTCAGGAGAAGAAACGGCTAAGGAGTAAACCCTATACAAATCTGGAGTGAGGACCCTAGGAAGGTTGCATGGAGCCTTGTATGCCTCCTTCCGGCAACTCCTGCAGCCAAGCTGCTGCCAGACATATTGCTCTACTTTCCTTTGGACCAGAGAGTGGGGTCTTGTTTGGGCAGCCCAGGAACTCCATGCACACTGCCCAGGATTGCACCCCAGGAAGTTCACTTCAGTGCTCCTAATGTAGCGGTTTGACTTCACCCCCGGTGGAGCACTCCATTGCCTTTCAAGACACACGGATGCCAACAATTCTGGAAACTGGTTCTACCAACACCCACCTGCAAGGGATATGGGGTCAATTCATAAACAAGGCTAGCTCGAGGAATTTTGGTGCCCAAAGTAGAACATCCAAGTGAAACCCCACCAACGCCACCATTTCCATCATGAACATGTGTGAGACTCCAAGAGCACAAGTCTCTCACTCTCCCGCCCTTGACGGCACCCCAAAGCTGCCACCTGCCTCATCTTAGAGCAGGCACCCCCAAACTCGGCCCTCCAGATGTTTTGGGACTACAGTGGTACCTCGCAAGACGAATGCCTCGCAAGATGGAAAACTCGCAAGACGAAAGGGTTTTTTGTTTTTTGAGCTGCTTCGCAAGACGATTTTCCCTATGGGCTTGCTTCGCAAGATGGAAACGTCTTGCAAGTTTGTTTCCTTTTTCTTAACACCATTAATACAGTTGCGACTTGACTTCGAGGAGCAACTCATAGCACGCGGTGTGGTAGCCTTTTTTGAGGTTTTTGAAGAGTTTGGTGATTTTTGAAGCTTTTCCAAAACTTTTCCGACACTGTGCTTCGCAAAAAAATCACAAGACGACAAAACTCGCGGAACGAATTCATTTTGTCTTGCGAGGCACCACTGTACATCTCCCATCATCCCTGACCACTGGTCTTGTTAGCTAGTGATGATGGGAGTTGTAGTCCCAAAACATCTGGAGGGCCAAGTTTGGGGGTGCCTGTCTTAAACCATATGCATGCGAAAGGTCCCAGTTTCAATCCCAGGTAGGGTTAGGAAACACTCCTGTCTGAACCCTGGAGGGCTGCTGCTGCCCATCAGGCTAGATGGCCCAATGGATTTAGTCAGCAGAAGGCTGGTCTCCTAAGAGCCCCCTGTGTTCAGAGAGCAGCACATGGGATATGGGTGGGGAATACAGTTTCGGCAATTTGTGAAAAGCGAGTTGGAGGGAGTAATGGCTGAAATGTGACGCCACAACCCTTTGGTTCATCAGGACTTGATGCCAACTGGTACACTTCCTTCGGTTTCCTCACTATCCTCCACTTTCCATGCGATCTCTGCTCACTCGCTTAATATTTACTTGCCCTGCTCCATTTCCACTCTCTAGAATCCTCTGTCTGGGTGGCTCTCTGTGCCTCTTTGCTTCCCCTGATAGGAACAGACACTCCACAGCCACAGAGCAAGAATGAATGCAACACACACAAGTCCACACAGGTGGCCCCCTGCAGCTGGATTCTCTAAGTTGCAGGGGGAGCAGACAGTAGATTCTACTAGCTGGTAGAATGGACTTTGCAGATCAGCAAGGATTTCTGAGCCTGATCTTTTCTTAACAATAGCAGCAGCAACAGAGTTAACATTCCCCACTGAACTTAACTGAAATGAAGGAAGGTAACCAAGGGGTAGACTTTTGTGCCAAAGGACTGTGAGCCTAGTTCAGTTCTGGTGCTGAAAATAAATTCCTGAGGTCTGAATGCGTTCAGAGACACCCTATTATTTAATTCTAAACACATGCATTTTGCAGCTAGCTCCCCTGGACTGCAAGAAGATCAAACCTCTCCATTCTGAAGGAAATCAGCCCTGAGTGCTCTCTGGAAGGACATATCCTGAAGCTGAGGCTCCAATACTTTGGCCACCTCATGAGAAGAGAAGACTCCCTGGAAAAGACCCTGATGTTGGGAAAGATGGAGGGCACAAGGAGAAGGGGACGACAGAGGACAAGTTGGTTGGACAGTGTTCTCGAAACTACCAGCATGAGTTTGACCAAAGTGCGGGAGGCAGTAAAGGACAGGAGTCCCTGGCGTGCTCTGGTCCATGGGGTCACAAAGAGTCGGACATGACTAAACGACTAAAAAACAACAACAGCAACTGGTTGGTAGGTCTTTGGAAGGTGGGGCGCCCTAGTGAGAAAGAAGAAAGGTGATCCTCTGTGCATCTCCTGTTCCAAGTGCAGGGTAGGACCTTTAAAGTTGCAGGATGCCAGAGCTGTTGGATCCATGCAATTGTCCCTAGCATGCAGAGGTTCCTAGGTTCAATTCCTGGTGGCTCCAGACAGGACTAGGAAACACTCCTGGCTGAAACCTTGGAGATAAGGCCCACAGGGAGACAGAGAGAGAGATATGCATATCTACGTCTCCTCTGCAGGAAGCTCTGATCCCGACCGCAGCTTTGGGTTAAAAAATAACATTAGTCCCTGCCCCAAAACTGTCCATTGATTGGCACCCTGCTACAAAATTTTAAGTGCTACATTAAAATGGGGGGAGAGCTTGGAAAGTGTAACAATATTTTTTATATTCATTTTTAGTCAAAAAGGGCATTCCTTTCGTATAACGAATGGAGCTGCACATTGTGGGCATTAAAATTGTACATATCCTTATGTACAATAAATAATGTGGAGGGAGGTTTGTAAGTGGTGAAGAGGAGGGAGTCAAAATATTGTTTTCATGCTATGTTTTGTAGCCAGTCTATGTTGCTTCTCTATTTACTAACTACTTGATCTATTCACCATGAAAGCCTATTGGTTCCTCATGACGCTGGCGTATCCTGCTGAGGAGTTAAAAGTTCCCACAAGAAGAATCACAGAGTTGGACGAGACCCTGAGTATAATCTAAGTCCAACCCCCTGTGATTGCAGGAATATGAAGTTGTCCCATACAGGGATAGAACCTGCAACCTTGGCATAGATCAGCACCACACTCCAACCAGCTGAGCTATCGGGGTTCATAAAGACTAAGACTCCAGCCCCTCCTTCCTTTAGGATTTGGAGCCTTTAAGGATTAAAGAGGTCCCTTTCCCAGCAAGGAGGGTGAGTGCTTATGTCTCTCAATCCATTTTGGCAGGAGGACTGGGCCCACCTACCTGTCAATCCTCTTGACATCAGGACGATGTCATTTTCCTTCGCCCTTGCAGTTTCAACTCAAACCACATGGGCAAAGTCACACGTATTTGCAAGCGCCAACATTCTGTTGATCAGCAGCACCTGCACATTGCACTCCCTTCGCCGGCATGGTTTGAAATCAAGCCACTCCGGCTGGATGGCTGATCCCTGCAAACCACACCAGGCATCACTGTATATGACATCAAGTGTAGGGAAAGTGGGCAGGGCTTGGGCAAAACAATCTGAATTACAATGCCTGCAGGTTGGAGGTTCGCCACCACTTAAGGTGAAACTGTCTAGCACGCCTCCTTTTTTCTCCACAAGCATGAAGACCACCAAGTGGTGTATTTTTTATTTTTAAACCCTGTAATGCAATGGGTGGGTAGACTCTGTGCTTTAAATAGCGGACTACGTGCACCATGCAATCGTTGGCAAAACTGCAAACTTTCACATCTTCAGGCTTTCATAGTTAGAGTTCTTTAGCTACTTACATCATCTAGGCGGCCGACTTTGGGTTGGGGGAAAAAAATAAAAAGACTATGCAAGCACAGAGTCTAAGTAAACCGTACCATCTTGCGCTTGAAATACCAGATCAAGGTCTTTCCCCTCCTGGCTAGAAGCAGAATGCAAGCAAATGAGCAAGGAGATGAGAAACAGCCCAGGAAAACCTACACAGACAGGCAGAGCCACCAATAAAAGCCATTGTGCAAAGGGAGGAAGAACTCTTACCAATTATGGACTGGGCAGATGTGATTGTTGGACAGTGCCATGGCATACCTGTAGGGAATAAAAGAAAGAAGTGAAAGAAGTGATCGTGTCTGCTCTCCTCAAACACCCAACGTCTGCTTCTCAGTTCTCTGCAGCCTAGGAGCAGCCCCAATGCTCAAGCCTCCATTAAGAATACACAGTAAACAGGGTGTTCGGACCAGAGGCGGGAAGCAGTCTTCAAACTCCTGCCTCCTCAACCACAAATTCAGTGCGTAGCCTTCAGCAAGTCATTTCTCTTAACCTTTGCTGCCCATCTATAAAGTGGATTGGTAAAGATTTTGAGGCAATGTGGGTCATGCTGCACTGCAGTTCAGCCTAAGCAATGGGGTAGCATCCTCCATCACACCTGGAGGCAACAGGTGTGTTAAGAATAGAGCACCAAACGAGCACACAACTTTGACACCAGTGTGCAGTCAATCGGACAAGCTTGGGCTTTGGGGTCAGTGTTAGATATGAAGATATGAAATCTAGGAGCTAATGGCACCTGAAACCAAGGTTATGGATGCAACAGCGGAACATCTAGGCTCGCTTTTTAATACAAAGCTGAAAATGAATGAACGGCAGCTAAAATATTAGGTTCATTTTTCGCATGGTCTAGTCTTTCCCCTGCCCACCCCCCTAATATCCTTAAGAGGGTCTCTTCTCCAGTCTTCAGAGAGTAGCTGGAAGCGGGGAGGCAGAAAAAGGTCCTCTTTTCCTTCCACTCTGCAGTTTTAATCTGAAATCTTAGTACTGCGCCCAGAGCTCAGAAACGGCTTGTGCTAATGAAATTCCCTGTCGCTAAACAAACCTAGAACAATGGGAGTTTCGAACACTGTTTGGGATGTACCTGTGGCCCCTGATTTGAGTGTCAATTACAGAGTTTTGGGACTGGCACAGAAAGTGGGGTTTGAGGTACAAAACCAGGACACAGCTTTGGCACCAGTATGGAGCCAAACGGACAATGTTGGGTTTTTGGCTATTTACTTGTGACCCCGATTTGCTGTGTCAATTACTCGGTTTGGGGGGAGGCGCAGCACGAAACGCAGGATTTGCGGCAGAAAACCAGCACTAAGCTTTGGCATCAGTTTTGGGGGATCCGAAATTTTGGGGTCGACATGTTAATAGAGCTGGGCTGGCATGTGTTGCTGTCCTCCAGCAGAAGGGAAGAGCTGATGAACTCTGGAGAAATAGCAGGCAGTGGGAGTGGGGTGCCTTAATATAGCATCGTCTGTCTGAGGCAGTTGCCTCACTCTAGCTAAGGTGGGGGCCACCCCTGCACTTGGAATCAGCTCCTTCCCCTGCCAGACTATCTGCTTGGCAGTGTTTGTCTAGTGATAAGAGTCCGACATGCATCCCAGGCAAAACGGCTCCATATGCCTCCCCACCCCTTAGATAGCAACCTTTTAAGGAAGATTTTTCAGCCCCAGGGCTGCATTTGCTTCTGGGCAGCCATGCCCACATGCCAGCAGTGGGTGGGGTCAGGGCCAAAAGGGGGTGGAGCAATGAATACAATTTTCTACCCTGGTACAGCAGGCTAGTTTCTAGACGCAGTCGCACATCCCTCTGTATCCTCCGTCCAGACAAGCAAGAAGCCAGGTTCAGAGGTCAAGTAAACATTCCAACCAGGCAAAAGCACTTCAGGAGGTTGCAGCCCAAGGCCAGTAAGGGGGTGTGGCTCAGGGAAAGAGGGAGTGGCCTGCTAAGAGTCCCAAGGGCTAAATAAGTGAGGCCTGGGGTCCAAGGATTCCCTGACCCCCCAGCACACTGCATTAGCAGGACAATGTGCAGAAAGGCAACCCACATACTACTCCTCACCACTACTGCTAAATCAGCCACAGGACTGTCGTTTCCATTTACCGTATTTTTTGCTCTATAAGACTCACTTTTTCCCTCCTAAAAAGTAAGGGGAAATGTGTGTGCGCCTTATGGAGCGAATGCAGGCTGCACAGCTATCCCAGAAGCCAGAAAAAGCAAGAGGGATTGCTGCTTTCACTGCACAGCAATTCCTCTTGCTGTTCTGGCTTCTGAGATTCAGAATATTTTTTCTCTTGTTTTCCTCCTCCAAAAACGAGGTGCGTCTTGTGGTCTGATGCATCTTATAGAGCGAAAAATACGGTAATTGAACATTGTTAATTGGCATGATAACCATCTGCACGTTTAAGGAGAGTCCACCAAATCACCAATTTCTAAGATTCCACATTCTTAGCATATAACAGCAGTATTAATCAATTCAGACTTTTCAAAATAAAAATGCAGACTGATGCAGAAATGTGGTGGACTGAATGAAGACTGGGGGAGGGAGGGCGGAGAAGTGGAGAAAACCCGAGAGAAGCCCAAACCGACAGATCCTTGCCCATCCCTAACAGGCGGTACTTAAAATAATTCTTTTTAAATGCAAACAGTCTGCCTGAATAATGGAGAGAAAGGCTGGCCAGCAAATCTGTGTCCAAAAACAGGGGTGAAGCCAGGTTTGATCTGTGGGAGAAAGAATGCAAGTCCCAATTTGCATATATATTTGTATGCACTTGATTTTTTTTTAAGCACGGCAATCCTTTTCTGCCTCTGTCAAAACCTAACAAAGAAAAGAAGGGTCTAAATTTCAGCCCCCTGCTAAAACAAGAGGTGAGCGGAACCTTTCTATTTGGATGCAAAGGCATGGTTCAAACTTTTTGGTAATAATAATAATAATTTATTATTTATACCCCGCCCATCTGGCTGGGCTTCCCCAGCCACTCTGGGCGGCTTTCAACAAAACACTAAAATACAATATATAACGTATTAAACATTAAAAGCTTCCCTAAACAGGGCTGCTTTTAGATGTCTTCTAAAAGCTTGGTAGTTATTGTTCTCTTTGACATCTGGTGGGAGGGCGTTCCACAGGGCAGGCGCCACTACCGAGAAGACCCTCTGCCTGGTTCCCTGTAACTTGGCTTCTCACAGTGAGGGAACCACCAGAAGGCCCTCAGCACTGGGCCTTAGTGTCCAGGCTGAACGATGGGGGTGTAGACGCTCCTTCAGGTATACAGGACCGAGGCTGTTTAGGGCTTTAAGGTCAGCACCAACACTTTGAATTGTGCATGGAAACGTACTGGGAGCCAATGTAGGTCTTTCAGGACCGGTGTTATGTGGTACCGGTGGCCGCTCCCAGTCAACAGTCTAGCTGCCGCATTCTTGATTAGTTGTAGTCACCTTCAAAGGTAGCCCCACATAGAGCGCATTGCAGCAGTCCAAGCGAGATAAAAATTACAATCTAATAGCATGTATAGCAAGTCATTTATATCCCACCGGAGTAAACACAATGGGAAGAGTGGATCAGGGAGGGGAAGCGCCTTGAAGGAGCTGCCAGAATGGCAAGGCAGCAGCTCTTCACAAGTCAGTCACATCAGTCAGGGAGATGGTTTGGCACCTTTTGGAAGTTGGGAGATGGGCTAGAGTAGCGCCAGACAGAACCTACCCTGTAAAAGGTAAAGGGACCCCTGACCGTTAGGTCCAGTCGTGACCGACTCTGGGATTGCGGTGCTCATCTCACTTTATTGGCCGAGGGAGCCGGCGTACAGCTTCTGGGTCATGTGGCCAACATGACTAAGCCACTTCTGACGGACCAGAGCAGTGCACAGAAATGCCGTTTACCTTCCCACCGGAACGGTACCTATTTATCTACTTGCACTTTGACGTGCTTTCGAACTGCTAGGTTGGCAGGAGCAGGGACCGAGCAACGGGAGCTCACACCGTCGCGGGGATTCGAACTGCCGACCTTCTGATCGTCAAGCCCTGGGCTCTGTGGTTTAACCCACAGCGCCACCCGCATCCCTGAACCTACCCTGTACTTTTGTGTATTCAAGGGGAGACGTGACCAGGGGCATGGCATGGGGGGTGCCGGGGGGGCTGCACACAATTTTTGAGCGGGCACAAACCAGGTGCCCTCACCGCAGAGTGGCCTGATGTTCCTCTCTGTCCATCAAGGGTTGTGTTGGCCAGCCAGGCTCCCCTCTGTGCGGACAGGCAGATGTCTCGGCACAGACCCGCTAGGAGGTGGGGTCGTTCCGGTGGCGAGGGCTGGCGAACCCGCCCCCCTGGGGTGTCAGCAACTGACGCCATACCGCTGGGTGTGACCTTTTTTGCCAAGGCAAAATGGAGCACAAGGGATTCTGGGCCTTCACTACAACCACCACATTGCAGGTTGGGCTGAGAGTTAACCTACAATAACCCTCTGATATAGTATACTGTTGCACCCCGTTGCGAGAAGGAGGGCAGCTTTCAGAGGCCCTGTAAAGTAACCCACTGTGAAATTCCAACCCTGAGATAGCGCCACCATCAGACGTCCTCCCAAGCCAAACCCAATTAACTCAATCGCTTGCTGACTTGCATGCAGACTGGTTGCACTTTTAAAATCTAAACAAAATTGTTTGTGAATTAAGAGCCCAATTAAAGCACGCAACCCATTTTTGATGGGGTTGTGTGTGGTTTTTTCAACTCTCTTCACCACAGGCTAAAACAGGAAACACCAGGCTGACACTGTATTGTGGGTGGGTTTCAATTCATACCAGAAAGTGGGCATTGCACAATTAGGGTGGATTTGGGCTCTTATGTAATATACCTGCTTCTCCCCTATCTGCAAAAAATGAGACTTTTTGCAATAAGAAAGGGGGTTACGAAATGTACTGGAAAACGTGGGGTAACCATCGCTTGACTCAACCTCATTTAATCTGCATGAATATTCAATAAACATTTAACCTACCTGCAAACTTTGTCCAAATAAATCTGGATGTTCAGTAAACAGGTTGTCTGAAGTGACCACAAGCACGCACCCCAATTATACACTCTGCAACATTCTGCTGAATGTTGGAGCAGGGCCCGAGCACTCACCCCGTCGCGGGGATTCGAACTGCCGACCTTCTGATCGGCAAGTCCTCAGCTCTGTGGTGTAACCCACAGCACCACCCATGCCCCAAGTGGCTGTTAGCCAGGTGCAAAATACGCCTGGCAAATTTCGAACACTGTTCCTGGAGTGTTGGCTGCTGCCAGTC